CATGAACATTAGAATTGTCACCAAGAAACGAAAGTACCTGGTAATTCAATTGGCGTGCGCGAGCTCTAGTAATTGGTCCAGTATGTATAGCAGCAGGGGTTGTGGGTGTAACAATAGTATTGATGTCCTCATCACTTAGCCTAGTCATTGGACACAAATGAAGTACACGAAGTACCAGCGATGCCTAACTTTTAACTAAACAAAACCCTGAAAAATATTACAAGGTTGATATACTTATATATGACTAAGGGGTGACGGACACGGGGTGTAAGCACACCCCAAGGCGTATTAAAACTCTACCGTAGGTTGTACAAGGCCCATGTGCCCAAGTGGAGGTGATGCAACACCTTTTGACTCGGATTATGCAACAACTTGAAACCATTTTTGAGACAGAGTCGTGCTCTAAAGGAATTGGAAGGTGAATCCAATTTGGTTGGAAAGTGCACGAGGTAAACTTTTCAAAAAATAATAATCAACCAATTTTGAGTATGGATGCCAATGTTATCAGCGTTTGAACTCTCGGATGTCTGTGTATCGGGTATGTTGGTATAGTTCGAATCTGAGTCCAAGACATGGGGACTTGGTCTCTAACTTCACTTGGGCCAAAAGTGACGCGGGAGAACTTCTTGTACATCACCTAGTCATGTCCCTTTTGATTTTTCATCATTTCTTGATCTAGTGTAGAAGAAGTAGTGGTAGGGTGGTTGTATACATGGTGGTGATGTCCTCATGTGTGTGTGTGGGGGGGGGGGGGCATTGGCCCCCTACCCCCACCATGCTTCCCCTGGTTCGTACATTGTTTGTATTTCACATTATCCTATTCATCTAGTCACACATTATTTAGCAATGTGAACGCCTGATGATCCACCAGTATAGATGTAGGTCTGCCACTGACATGTTAGTGTCACATTGTTGTCTTGTTTAACATAAGTGGAGAAATCTCCCATGACTCTCGTGCATTTTAAAACTCTCTAAGAGTATTTCGGTTTGATTATCATGTGTTTCCCCGTGCACAGTAATTAGCCTTCACACTTGGAAGCTACTTTTCCAAATAGTTGTTCACTCTATGAATCAAGATATGCATTGTAGTAGTTAATACCCTTCCCCTAGAGTAAATGCATTTTATTATTTCACTACGTAAATACAATGGAAGGTGTTAAGGTGGTTTTCACATGTTATTTAATACACATTAACATTTCTTATGAAGTCATTAACATTTCTTATGAAGTTCTCTCAAATTTAAATTTCTTTTGTACGTGTGCATAGTGAGTCGTTGATGATCGAAAATACACAAACTTATGCCACGACTTTTGGATAACCCATAAGGTAAACATACCCAAAGTTATTAGCCGATCATCCTCACCCCAAAGGATGGTGTGCTTATATGCCATAGAAAAAGCAACATTTAACACTAGTCGGCTCCAGCCGTTGATGACACCTAAAGGTGTAGATGTGTGATAATAAGACAAACATATGTCTTTATTGTTGCCGTGTCTCAACATACTTACCTTTGCCATTTTTATTACGAAAATGTTTTAAAAAAGGGTGTTTTTGGCTAAGCATGACAATGACAAATCAAAAAAATTATTGCAATTTATGTTGTCGTGAGGATGACAATTTACTTTAGCAAGTACGACAAATTCTGGTGAAAACTGAACATGGCAGATTTGCCATGCTTTCCGAAGGAAATTACCATCATCGCGACAACATAATATGCCTAAAAAAGTTTTTTTGCCATGCTTAAAAATCTGACGTCAATGGTTTAAAATTCTTTTATCATATATGCTATATTGTGCGGTAATTGCCTTTGGCTCCTAGGTGCATATGCACCCATTGTCGAAATACACATTTCGAAAAGTTGAAAAATTCGGAACAAAAATCCCGCGTGTACATCCGGACATTTTATGTTGTGTGCACTTATGATAGATAGCTTTATTACTAACGTAACGATGTACCACTCATTTCTACTATATCTATTTTTAAATATAAGACATTTTGATAGTTCTTTGAATTGAACTGCCAAAGTGTCTTACATTCAGGAACGAAGAGTGTAATTTATTAGGTTCATTCACAAGGTTTATGGATTATTCTGTCTGTTAGACCCCGACCTTGGAAATATGGTCACACGAAAATTGTCTCATTTTAATATGGATGACTTACATACTATATTAACAAGACAACGCCAGCGCGTTGCTACAAGCAATGAGTTTATAAAAAAAAAGTAGAACATATAGAGTAGTACCGCACCATATTCAATCAAGAGGTAAATGATGGGTAAATGCATCTTATACTGTCTTGTGACATTCAAGTTTAATTTATTTATTGTTGAAAAATAAAATAAAATTAATGATGTGGCGGGCTTGCAAGTGGTGGAAAGTGAAAAGTTGAATGTTTGCATGGCACCTGATGATGTGGATGATGTGCATGTGGTAGAAATTAAAAAATGAAACGTTGATTGGTTGCATGTGCTTAATGATGTGGATAATTTGCACGTGCATTGCATTTAAATAGAAGATGACATATATGAGGCATATGTGATGAGGTAGATAAGTTGCATGCTAATTGTTAAGATAAATAAGATAGCGAGGATAAACTTTTGGAAAAAGTTCAAATTAAACCTTGAATTTGTAGACGAAAGCTTAATTAAATCCCGAACTCTCAATCCTTGAAATCAGCACACCAAATTCTCCTATCCCGGTCTATTTTAAACTCTCCTATCCCGGTCTATTTTAAACCTTGAGAGAACTTAGCCGGTATTTGCTGAATTGGGCCGGCCCAGTAGCTCAGGCGCTCTCTCGCGCGCACTAATCTGTTTTTTCTTAGTTTTTCCTTTTATGTTTTCTTTTCATTTTTCATTTTCACACATGTCTAATTTTCCTCAGTACCCAATGTACATTTTAACACACACATTAAATATTTTTGATGAACTTTTGATATTTTCAAATACATTATGGACATTTTTAAATTAAATGTTTTCAAAACTTTTTAAATACATGGTAATATTTTTCTGAATACATGTTTTACATTTTTTAATGACAATAAAAATTTTATAAATTCTTTTCACCCGCAAAAAAATATATTTTATAAAACTACACGAACACTCTTTTACATGGTTCAACATTTTTAAATTTGCATACACTTTTTTCAAACACATGCCACGTATATTCTGTTAAGGTTATGGCACTTTTTTTTACAACACCCAAACATTTTTCAACATTGTACGCACATTTTTTTGAAAGTATCACAAACAGATTTTTTTGAAACTCGTGAATATTCTTGAAAATGTTACATTAAAAAAAACTCGTTTCATGTCTGGTGGGCCAGCTAGTCGATTCCGCAGCCAACAACCCGAAACATCTTTTAAAAACATTATTTACAAAGTTCCAAAAACATTATTTAAAAAACATGACACAATTTTGAAAATCCGAAATATTTTTCATACCATGTGAAATCTGTTGGAATTCTGAGCATTTTTTTACAAATATGATTTTTTTTGAAATCACGAAGTTTTTTTTGAAATGCGAATAGAATTTTAAAATACCAAACATATTTTAAAAATACAAAATAAATTGAATTTCTGCCAAAAATAGAAAACATGAATATTTTTTAACTTTTGATTTTTTTAGAAATTTGCGAACATTTTTTAAACTTCACGAATTCTGATTGTATTATAGTTGGTCGGCCCAAATTCTTGCCCGTGACTGTAGCTGGTTATCCCGGGCGGGATTGTAGTATTCCCAGCGTGCCAAACAGGTCTAGGGTCCAAAATAGACCGGGATTACAAGTTCAGAGTGCCAATTTCCGGGATTCAAAGTTCAGGGTTTGATTTAGCTTTCGCCTACAATTTCAAGATTTATTTTGGACTTTTTCCTAAACTTTTTAGGCATGTAGAATACACGGTCTAGAACTTAATTAGATCATCTTTGATTACGGTAATTTCTAGAATGTGGTCACTTAGCACATCTGTAAAGCGGACCCTTAAACCTAAGCCTGGTCCGCAATGTCCGAATCATTTTTGTCATCCAACGAAAGTCTTAGATGTCTGTAGAGCAGTCCAGATATACGGATTCCGACATCCTATCAACAAGCATGGATGGCTTTGCAGGAGTTCGGACATCCGGCTTGAACAATCTCTCCAAAAAATAATCCCAAACGGAGATGTCACACAGGAGCGTCGGCACCACCACAAGGGCAGCCACCATGGCCGCCTCTGTGCCGAAGCAATAACTAGCACCGAGTGCGTAAGTTCTCAAAATCTTTGGAGTGGCTTGGATGTGAACTTCCTAAACAGTGATGCTGAACTTTGAGTACCCACATGTTCTAAAATTCTCACCCCTTCACTAAATTTTAGTCATGACAACGATGGCCATGTACTGCTCTTGTCGTGGCTTAGCGGACCATCTAGCTCAGCTCGGAGATGAGATGATCACATCCAATGATGAAGAACTGTGGTTGATTCGATCCAAAGAATTGCGGACAGATCCTGCAGTTGCGGAGGCCCATGCTGCTCCGGACCTGCGTGAGTTGTCCTCGCTCCCGGGCTCCACCCAAGTTCCTCCATCCGAACCTTCTCCTGCGCCACAGCAGCGGCTGGACTCGAGTCCCCGACTGGTGCTTGACCGCACCAGCCGCGAGATCCGAGCTGAGCTACACGTCATCGCCAGGTGGACGTGCCACACGAGTCACCAGGCGAGCAAGCCAGCGGGAGTGCTAGCCCAGTCCAGCACGGCTCCCTGCCGTCCGAGCTGTATCACGTCGGTTACGCCCACACGCGTCGTGCCCCCACAAACCATGCTGCGTGTCTCTGACGTGAAAGGGCCCACAGGTTCACAGACCCCACACGTCATAGTCCAGAAGGCGCTTTTGTTTTTTCTCGTCGTCTCTATCGATCTCCTCCGCCTTCCTTTGGCCCCTTCCGTCTCGCGTCGGCCTCTTAACGGCCGCTCGGCCTCACGCCAGCGCCCGGCTATACTACCTTTCGCACGCCCGTCTCCGCCTCCATGCAGCACCGCTCGCCGGCGGCGGCCACGGCCTCCGGAGCTGCCTCCGCTGCGGCCGCCATGGAGCCAGGCGTCGGCGGCGTCGAGCCTGCGGTGACGCTCGACCAGGTGCCGCGCTGGAGCGACCCCGACCAGCGCCTGTACACACCGTCCTCCTCGTCCGCCACCGCCGAAGCCGCGGACGGCGGATCCGAGCCCGCAGCGTCCGCCTTCCTCTCCTTCTCCGACCCGCTCACCGGCGACGACAGCGGCGCCGCCGGTGGTGGCTGCGCGGGCGCCTCGCGCTTCCCCGTGGACCACGAGATCAACTCCAGGATCTACCTCTGGCGGGGACAGCCCTGGAACATGGAGGTCGATGCCGTCGTCAACTCCACCAACGAGGTTGCGATTCTCTTCTTATGTCTCGCTGGGCATTGGAGAATGCTGGAACTACGGTGCTAAGCTCTTGATTCTTCGGTTCGTGCAGAGCTTGGACGAGGCGCACAGTAGTCCTGGGCTGCACGCTGCAGCATGTTCTGGGCTCGCGGAGGAATGCGCCACCTTGGTACGACTTTGGATGTCAGGACTTGACAGTACAATTTTAGGGGGGGAATTTGTTCAATCACTGGAGATTGTGAAGTGACATGTTTTTTTACTGCTTGACTTTTAGCAGGGAGGGTGCCGAACTGGGATGGCAAAGATGACCAATGCATACGATCTTCCTGCGAGGTAGGCATTTAGTGCCTCCGTTTCAGTTTTTCACGTGGAAAATGAATGTATTTCCCTTTTTTAGTAGAAAAATGGAACATATGTCCTGTGCACGGATCTGGAAATTCTGTTGAAGCATGAAGTTACTTAGTTACAACATCTGCGTAGTTTTTCGTTTCACGATATGACCTGTTGTCTGCTAGTCCTT